TTCAAACGATGGATCACAAGGCGCGCGGCCTTCTTTTATGTCATTAGGTTCGGCTCATGTGAAGTTCGACGTWTGAACTTRGACTTCTAGACCCTTACCATARYGACTTTTTATAACTAGACTTACCACAATCCTCTTCAAAATATCTTTTTATATTCATATATATYAAACCTCCTTTGAGAATATCGAGACAATAATGAAAATTGGCATAACAAAAAAAGAACGCCATCATGCTTGAGGTCTATGACGAAAACTTGTTTGGATGAGAAATATGAGAAGCAGCTTCCTTRGCGCGATGTAGGCGTAAGACTATAGCCATATTTTCGCGAAAAATTGGGATCAAAATGAATGTATTTCTGCATTAGGAAAGCTGAAAAATTCTTGCTGTCTGAGTACTACTTTCAATCATGATTCAGACTACGTGGAAGCTTTGTCGTCAAAGTTAGATGAGCATAACTTGGTCTTATGAACACCTGTAAAGGAACACTCTTGGAGATTTCCTCCAACGGGAATCGTCTTTTTTGTTTTCACCTCAGTGCTATCGGAAGTACTCAGTCCATTTGATTGAATTCTCTTGAATACACCGGCAGCACTTCTAAATTAAGTTTTTTTTAAAACATCTAGTGAATCGGCCAATTCTAAGCCGATTGAATTTCCGTTAATCATGCAAGTTTGGTGAAAATATTGTCGGATTTCGTTGGATTATCATGATTTTTTATTTACAAAAAAACATAGCTAATGTAAGCGGTTAAAGCACGGCTAAGTCACAGATCCAATTGGATTCATAAATTATTCCATATGTCTCTAGGGTATTCTATTCCTCTTTTTTTAAAAATCCGTGTAGAACAATTAGAATAACAGGATACAGGCCACAGGCCACAGGCCAGGAGATATGTTCGTCGTCGAATGAAATGAGTTTTATTTCTCGGCAAACAATTGTTATGGCTTGAGTTATAATCCAACTATCTTTTCAAAGCCTTCAGAATTAAAAAAAGGTAATTGTATTTTCTTAAATTTAAAGGAATTATAATTTCCTCACCATCGCCGGAGCTGCATCTTCATATTTCCGACCGGAATCATGTTTTCATATGCTTTTTGAAGCTAGTAAGTGAAGTTTGTTGCGGGGGGTATCTTAGGAACCACCAGATCTTGATATTTATTTACACATTATTCAATCAGTCCAACATATGTAGCTCAATTCCCAAACCTATGTTACCAAACTCCGAAAGCCTGCGCATGCGCTCTTCTTTCTTTCACTTCAACGTGCGAATGTGCCTTGCTCGCRCAGGAGCCATATTGACTATAGCAATCGATGTTTCCACGCGTAGTCGGCTCGCATTTAAGTTCTTAATAAYAAATTAATGTGTGTTAAAAGGGTTTATATTCCCATTAAAATGTCGCGTGACCTCGGCCTATAYTGTGCCCTAAGATAGGGAGCCACATTTTGTAGAGTCTTTGTTTAGAGGTCAAATTACTGAGCATGCATATATCGCTTTTCTCAAAGTGATTCTGACCTTGAGTCAGGTTTCATTTTGAATCACAAATCGTATCTATGCACGCGATCTTTTCAAAATTGAACAGTTTAACCTTGTTCTCCCTAAAAGCACGATAGCCTGAAATTCTTTAGTAATTTTAAAATCTTTTGAAAGTTTTTCGTTCGACTGAAGCAGATCTAGGGGTGGTTCCACGGCGTTCCATTGCGATCCCCTTTTGTAAAGTCGATATTGTCTTTTATGCAATCTCTTACGCTAGAATGAGATTGATTGAGATCATGGTTTTGTCCTTAAAATGCAGAAAATAGCGTTCCTGGAACTCCCCTTTTCAAATTCTAGATTTGTCACTGGTTTATTGAGTCAGTTTAACCTCAAAYTTCAAYKTMAAMCCYTTACTAACCCCTTCCTTACATGTTTGATCTCAGCGACCCTAGTATTTCCTGAAGACGCTTTGGGGCGTTAGGGWTGAGRGCAAAACAATTTAGGGGGAAGGGGYGKYGTTACCCGGTACCCACYACCTCTGGAAGTGAAATCTTAGATTTTGTCCCCAAATATTTCCAAAACTAAAAKCCAAATCACGGAAATGAATSKACTGTCTGTCTGCATGTATGCTAAAAWACATATTTKGGTATAGAAATTGCCACTACAGAYCCCTAGTATCTAGCATTTGAACAGGTCTCTGAGGGGGGAGGGGGTATGTACYGGTACCCACCACCTTAATTCATAAAATCGGGTCCCTATTTTGGACCACTGWTTTGACCTCRTCCCTTAATTGGTAAACCTGCATAGATAGTATAGAAGGGYTACTGACATTTTTCGTATGATTACCTACGACGCTTTTCATGGACTTTTGATATTGCTTTTTGCAAACTTTTTTCAGGTCATCTTCCATTGAGGTAAGACAAGTATAGTTGAACATCTGTTTAAGGGCCACCCTTGGATTATCATTTAGTGGCTGGTTTAATAGGTGCGTGTCACTTAAAAACGGTCGAGTTCCAATACTGGTAATTAATRTAGAAAACCCGCAAGGCCGGCGACAGAATAAGCTGGATAGAGAGACAGAGAGGCAATTTTTAATTGATTTTTAGCTTAAATAATGTGCAATTGTAAACGAAACAGTGAGGAAACGTCAAAATGTCGCCAAAACTTCGCAAATAGTAGCAAACGTAGTGGGATGCCCATACAATATTATAGCTTCTAAATGAGAAAATACTGAATTACAGTACTTAACAGCTGTGCATGTTGAAAAGCTTGGATCGAGTAGGTTTTGTTACATGTTGCAAGTTGCTTCACAAGCTTGAAATGCACATAATATAATCTCGTACTGAAAGCCTTAATCTCCTATTGCGCATGCAAGATTTGTCTCTATATCCCTGTCACCTTCCAATCAACTCGGCCAGCCCTTCGGGTTGTTTTGACCATAATTACATATGATTGACAGTCGTAGCAATAATGTCACTAAATTTGACGGTTTTGTCACGTTTCACTAAACTATCTATCGCGACGTGGTATCAATAATTCTTCAATACAAACAAACAAACAAACAAACTAGCGAACGAACAAGCGAAAAAACGAGCATACTAACAAAGTAAAATAGAAAAACACCAATAAACGAAGTACCAAACAATATAATGAAGCTAAAACTGATTTGCAATAAAACAACAACAACGAAAATGAAGAACAAGCGCACACACACACACAAGAAAACATTAGATTTAACAATAATACTGCATGCATGGCATACAGAACAAAACCCTAAGATCAGACAAAAGAACACGAGACATAACAAAACAAAATGCAACAAAACAAACAAATAAACCGGACAACATTAGTAACAAACTGAAAAAAACAAACATTTTACTATTAGTTGTCTTTAATTTTAATGCTGTTTAATGTGTTTTAGGGCGCGAAGCACGTGGCGTTTGCTAAAAAAAAAAAAAAAAATTAACCGACCTGTCTGAACCTCTTCAGTTATAGTTTTAGTTCAAAATAACCTCGGCCTAAGTGCTTTTGTTTTCGGAGAAGCTCTCCAATATACTCCTAATTCTTAGCGAAATACTTTCACATATTTTMAAGCTTTKTAACTGGTGSCATTCCAAGTTATGGKCTTGRGCTTTTTCTCTMCGTAAACTCTTTTTCAAGAATTTTKCAGGTTGTTTTGTTTAAACCGCCTCTATTATGTCATGGTTAAAAAGTTATTTTCTAAATCATTTAGTTTGACTTCTCACTCTAAGAGCGTATATTCACATGGTTTCTAAGCAACAATGCTCTCGAGTACAATTCTTGCTGAGAGCTAATTTGACACATCAGCTAATTTTGAAGTACCCACGCCAAAATTCAGGGTCTGACRTCGTGCCCAAATACAAGGTTAGGACCTCATATTTAGGCATTAGTGTTCGCTCACTGTAAGTGTGAATACTCTCTTAGACTAGTAATGAAAAGTAATAAGCAAAAGTGCAAGCGAACGYAAAGAAAAAATCTTTCATTTTCTCGCGTGTGCGCTTACGTCGCTTTTTTACATGGTGAGAACATAGCCGGCGTTACCGTGTAATATTTTTCAAATTTAAAGTATATTAAATATATTATATTTCAGTATAAAAAAGAAAGAAAGAAAGAAAGWAAGWAAKAAAGAAAGAAAGAAAGCGACGGAAATAAAAGAAAACGGAGAACTGAAAATGAATAACGTGTGGTCTGACATTTATAAGGAAAAGATTCCCCAAAACATCCTAAATAAAAATGAAAAAAAGTTGGGGAAAAAAAAGCCGGATAAAAACCCCTGGTCCCTAGGGTGCTTCTTGCAGCGAGTATCGGTTCTTCTAGTTTGATCTGCGCCAAGCAACGACRCACATGATACCAAAAATGTAAATATTGGAATTCTTGACAGGAACAGAAGGAAAACGGAGGGTGGATCTGGATTTTTATATAGCTTTTACAGATCAAAACATTAACACAGTCCGCTTTTCTAAAGAACTCTTCAATGAATTCGCAGTAGGAAAAATTTTGAATGATAGAAAAAAACTAATTTACTACAAACGTTTAAACATGTCCTAAGACATCTTTAAAATATTTAATATATAAATTAACTTTCTAGAAATTTTTTTTTTGATTTTAAATGATTGAAGTAAGCGATGTAAAGAACTCTTCATTTGTTTTGCTTTTTTTAATATTAAAGGTGAATYATTTTATTTTATTTTTTATTTTGGCTCTTAATTTTAATTAAATTTTTTTCTTCTTACTTTGCTAAAAGTATAGAGATTGCGGTTTTGATATTTTCGTTCTGTGGGGTAATGGTTAAGTATCTGTTTAATATTTTAATATTGGGAAAAGTATCATAATACCCTAAGGCTCTAAAGCCACAATTTCCATCGCAAACACCCAGGCAAACACCTGCAAAAATCGCTGGGGTTTGATTGACATTTATTGTCCACAAAAAACACTTTGATTGGTCAGTATAATTCATGGAAGCCAAATAGATGTCTGTCACGCAACCCCCTTTGGAGAATCGAAGGTCACATCGGGTGAAAGATTCAATGCTTGGGCAACTCAACCATATCCATATGACACAACAAGAAATCTCTATGGCCATTAGATATTAGACCGGAATCCAGCATTTTAGAGTCGGKTTAAATGGCTATGTAGGTTGATCAAATGCTAGGAAAATCTTCGATTGTTTAAAATCCAACTTCTATGGAAGACCCGATTCTATGGGAGGCTAGAGTTCCTGATTCATTACAATCCGGAGCGACCTTCACAAAATGGGATGAGGTACACACTGAATCAGATCATTTACAACACCATAACACAAAATTATCTCGGTACAATCCTACTGGAGTAGTAGGAATCAAACGTTTTCGAGCTAGAGTTTTTTGAGGAATTATTTCAGTCATTACTTTAACTGCCGTGTGAAGCTTTGCTTGTAGTGAAGAGAGGATTTTGGAAGATTTCTTTTGACATTACCTAAGGGGCTCATTTTAAACGGTTAAGACTACCCAAACCGTCTCTAAGATATTAAGATATGTTCTTTGGTTTTCAAAAAATTACTCAATGCTTGTTTTTACTCTCTTGTAGGAATCTGTTTCGCCAAGCAACACTTTTCGAGTCGACCAATATGGCTTCTTCCTCTATTGGAGAGCCGAAGACGAAAAGGTACACAAATGTCTTTTACAAATCAAATACAAAATCTGGTTTGAATTTTCCCTGCGAGGCAGCTATCTAGCTTTATGTAGTCCTTAATGGCTCGGAATGATTACTTTTTAAAATATTTTTTATTTATTTCAGGAGAGCAATTGTATTGAGCTCAGCTTGGTTAGTGAGGTTAGACCAGCCACTATACCTAAGGTAAAGACCTCCCTTGATTTATACTGTTATTCCTGTGTACTCTTAAATCAGTCAGTAAATACGTAAGTATCATTACAAATATACGATATTCTTCTTAGCCAACCTAGAAATAAATAATTCAATCATATATAAAACATTTTTAAATAAAAAAAGTCGATTTTGCGAAAGGCGAGATTTTACAATTTAGTTCAAAAAAAGCTTGATGTAAGCCTAAATTTTGGAAGATCTTTACCAAAATGAATCAACTTTTTATAAAATTAAAACCCGTCCAGGAATCAATAGTATTCAATATTTCACTGTCTTCGGATTTGAGGATTAGAATTCAAGTCTTAACCAGCATATTTTTATTTTAGCAATATCCTTTTAATATATTGTTCGATTTGCTTTTATATACAATATCATTCATACCGTACACAAGCCGTTTTCTACATCAGCATTAAAATAATATGCAAGGATTAATGAACGTCGAGGAATAATTCAAATTAATCATCAAAAGTGCAACTAATAAAAAAAGGCTAAAGATTTCAAGCTAGAACCAAAGAGAAAGCAAATCAATGCCATAAATAGGACTCGAAAGTAAATTTTGAAGCCCTGTTTTTGTGATGTTTACTTTTGATTATCAAAATGCATGAAGCGTGTTTGAAGCGCTTCCCTATTCGACGATTCCTTTTTTATTTTTGGTATCAATTAACATTATCTTATTTCTATAATAAGTAAACGACTTGTGTGAATATTCAGGCTATTGTATTAATGATTTATTAGGTCGTAATTCTATAAAGAAAGAAAGGAATAGCAAAAAAAATTCGGTCTGTACATCCTTTGTGTTGACACAATTTCTCCGCTCGCTGAAATGTTGTTAATCACTCAAGCTCTCATCCTCATTAGGTCAAGAATCGTAGAATACCATTACTAGAAGGCTCGGGATCTTACCTATCCCTAGGATACRAGCTGTTTTTAATCCATCCTGACAATAAAAATATATATCATTCAATTAGACAACGAGTTGCAAACACTGTTTTTCCAAAAGCCATTATAATGTCGATGACGTAAGATCTATAGTGCTGATGGAATGCTAGAAAATAAACTTCTTACAAACTTGTTCTTGTCAAAAAAAAATGCTTGACAAAAAATATGTCAGAAAAATTTCACTCTTAGTTTCAATCTATCAAAAAAAATATTTTTATATAAAACACTTAATATATTTGGGTTAATATAATTTTTATACTTAGCAACCCTCAGCAATATCTAAGACACTGCTTTTTTGAGCATTTTTTGAGCTCTAAGTCTGGAAATTTTTTTTTGTTTGGTTAAAGATTTTAGATTTGAATTTCTTTAAGGCAATAGTCGATTGTTTTGGCTTTTGACAGATGTCTATTGAAATCGTAACATCAAACAACCTAGGGAACAAATATTGTAGGTAGGTAAACTAAGATCATTTGTGTTTCATTTTGCCTTATAGTAAAGCCAAGGAATGATTGCCACACCAAAAAAAAAAGAATTATTAAGACTCAAAATCTTTTTGGTTATATTGCTTACGACTAAAATATCTTAATTTTTAAAATCATTTTTAAATATTAATTATTAAGTCCACCACATTTTTCATTCCTTGCCACATTAGTAGACGTYTACTGTAAGCAAGGGTCAAAGGTTCATTTTCAAGTTAGTGATTTCAAGGATTTTGTTAGGTTATTTGTTTTTCAAAACAAAGTTTTTACAAGATTATATTTCGACTGTTGCTATGGAAATAGTGATTTACTTATCAAAATCTTAATAATTTTTTCTTCAAAGAACCAATGATTGGAAATTGTTTTTAAGACTGTAGTTTAAAAAATGACCAAAATTAGACATACAAGAAAGCATGTGGGTGGACAAGCCCCTGAGCACATTATTGATTCAAGTACATGAATATGTTAGAAAAAAAAATTTAAATTCATGGCTCTGGTAATGGAATGAACACTTGAAAAATTCCTAAATTTTTATAATATTTATTAAAAATTTAATTTTAACTTTATCAAATTGTTTATCCTTTGGGTAAATTATGTTTTCATTGTTTTCAAGTTTTTCATGTTTACATACTGCATTTCTACTAAGTTTTAGTAGGAAATAGTTATCGACTTGGAAAATATTAAATATTTAGTTGTTAAATATAAATGGTGCATGCTAGTTCTTACTTAAAAACTATAAAAATATGAAAATAGTAATTAGAATCCACTCAACTATAAAGTATAATATTGAATAAATTGTACATCACTGTTTTGTAACATTGGAGGTATTTTGTTTGCATTAATTCTTAAACAGTTTACCTCCAACAAGTAGGAAGTAGTTTCCTTTCATATATAATTCATGAAAAAAGCTTTAAATTCAACATTGCTACAAAATTTGTACTTATTTTTTGCATGGTTTTAATGCAATTTTACCTCCTTATTTGTAATTAAATTTTTAGCAATTTTTTCTCTCCTTTATTTGCTTTCATGAAATATCTAAAATCTTGTGTTTATTTAAGTATACATGTAGCAACACATTTCTTCAAATTCAAAGAACAATTTATCAAAAATAAATTAATAATCAATTATGAAATCTTTTAGAATATTATAATATTGTCTTGTCGTATGAAAGTAATTTGGTACACTGTCAAATGTTTTTGAAATAGCATTATCAATAATTGAGGTAATCCTCTAATTGATGAAGAATTTCAATATGAAGTCATGTTATAGGATAAAGATTTCATGGGAGAGGTAGCTGCCATACAGTATCTCTGGAGAAATATTTTACGACACTGTCATAAAATGACCACTCCTGTCTCTATACCTCAAATATAAGTTGCCGAACAATAATCAAGAAGTCAGAGATTCACACTGTTTCATGCACATTGACCAAAATTTTGATTAAGTTGAATATGCTTCACTGGGTGTACTAGTAGGTCTTTTATTAGTCTTTTGAAGGGGCGATGAATGATGAGTGCAAAGTCTTTTGACACTGAGAGACTTGTGTATGATATTATCAAAACCTGAGACTACAATTTCTACTGCATACACAGCAGACACTCATGACGACTCTGACACCCAAATTTAATGAAAATGTGAGACAGCTAGACTTCTCAAATTTAGCCCAATTTTTGCAATTATATTATTATGTTTTATCTCTAATTGAGAAGGGAGGGAAATTGAGACAGAAATTTAAAGCTGACCCAGAAAGATGAGAGACAAATAATAATATCAAGAAACTCTGAAAACAATTTGTATATTTTATGTTCGCAGGACGTGAAGTTGAGAGAAGCCCTGCAAAAAATTGGCCATGACCCACTTGAAGACAGGATGTTTACGGTTGTCTACAACAGCAGTCTTGTTGATGTGTCTTATATTCATCTGTGTGCGTCAAATGCCAAAACTGCTAGTGTAAGTAAAGGGCCACTTGCTGGGGCTTTTAGTTTTTTTTTAAAAGAGTGAGCTGCTATATATTGAGCTAATAAAGGCCTTTATTGAARGACCAAAATGTCTGACAAAGATATAAATTTTTTATAAGTTGAAGACTAATCTTTTCAAATGTAATAATTAATTATTCTTACACATTTGAATTTACCAGTTTGACTATTTTTTAAAGTGAAATTATTTTCCATTTTTGTATCACTTTTATATTATTTTTCTCATTTTGTCCAATTTTCCTTTTTCCCAAATGAATTTATYATAATAATATGATAGTTATTCTTGATATTTTCTTTCCCATTTATCTTCCGATTTATTTCCCATTTTCAAAAATCTATATATTTTGTATCTACATGTCAATATATATATATTTTAATATCACTGAAAATTAACTCAGGTCAAGCTTATTAATGATTTTGTAACACATTTGATCGACGTTTGTAATTACAATTACTCCAATATATATTATATATTATATTATATATTATATTATGAGAGTGCTCTCCTCTCACCAATGCGACTCAGGTTCAAGTCCCGCTGGGCTTGGTGTTGTATGTGAGTAGAGTTGTTTGTAGGTTCTTTCCTGTGCTATGATGGTTTTCCYGGTTCTCCGGTTTTTCTCCCTCCTCAAAAATCAACTTCTAAATTCCAATTGGAATTACTGTGGATGAAGAGCCACTCTTTGGAAATGCCACTGCTAAATCCTATTTATTTATTATATTTATTTATTTTTTTCTAAACTATATTGATTGTTTTTTCTTAACTATTTAGGAATGGATCGATGGATTGTTACCTTTACTGCATGACTATAGAATTAACAACAGCAACATTATGACACAACTCTTTAGACAGTAAGCTTTTTATTCCTTGTTTGCCTTTAATCATCTGCAATTAAGTAAAAATTAAACTGTGTGTGTTGAGAATTTCGGTTTGTGAGTCCCACTAAATTTTAAATGATAATACACTATTTTGCTAATACGAATTTTCTCTGTTCCAGCTAACTCAGGGGGCAAAATGGTGTGGAGGGCCAAATTTTGTCTCATTAATTAAACAAATATMTGATATTTTCACCCTGAGTAAACTGGAACAAGAGAACATTTGCATCAGCAAAGTAGTACGTGTACTTAAATTTAAGCCATGCATTTATAAAAGCCAAGGGACCTACACTGTAGCAAAGTAAATAAGAGCATGGCAAACTCACAGATCAAACCCTGAAACAACCTCTGGGCTGATCTAAGTCAGGGCATGACTAACTTAGAGATAAAATTGAAATTTAGCTTGTTAGGTTTTGTGGAGTAAAGAAAACTGGAATGACCAAAAAAAAAAAAAAAAATCAAATCAAGAGACCCAACAAACCCTGCTTACATGTGATTCTGTATGAGTCCAGGAATCAATTATTTTTTTTATTTTCACTTGTTTACTCCCAACATTCAGTAATTTTTAGTCTAGGTTTTCTACAACCAGCTTTTATTGCCTCCCCTACCTCTCTTTGCGCACTTATCATATTTAATAATAAATTATAGTTCAATATTAACTCCCGAGAAAAACAAAATGATTGTCTACCGGATGAATATCGAAAATATACTTTGAACTAGTTAATTAAATACTGTCATTATTTTATTTTGGGATATATTGTTGACATGATTAGAACTGAATTAATTTTTTCGTTCTAGATACATAAAAGCTGGCATCCTTACAAGTTCACAAGGGAAAATATCTGTAAAAGGGTGAGACGATTTCCTATAATGTACCTTATCTTGACAGCAATGTTTAGTCTATTTTATTCTACAGACTGCCAATATATTATTAATATATTGGTAGTCTGTATTATATTCAAGCCAGTGTTAGTATTTTATATGTTTTTTATGTTGATTGAGTAATATCAATATTTGAGTGAACATGTTATTTCTTGTATTGGTTGCCATCATGAATATTGATAGCAAAATTATTGAAAATTGATTCATAATTGGTAAAAATTATATTATATTGGAATACAGTAAAATGAAATAAAAAAAGGTGAATAAAATAAGGCAATAAAGATTGGGACAAAAATGAGAGAAAAAGGGAAAAGCAAGATTTAGTACAACAACAAAATTTAATCCACAAAAATGGAAATTAATTAGTAAGAATTAAAATGAAATCAGATAAAAGAAAAAAGGAAAAAAAAAGTCGTGAAATAGATAAATAGAAAAATATGGGGAAAAATTTGAAAGGAAAATTGTCTTAAAGGAAAACTTTTTTTCTTTTCATAATTTTTAATTTTTTTCAAAGTTGTACATAATGTATATAATATTTATAATAATAATGATAATAATAATAATAAACTCTTTATTTACTGAGGGTAGCACTAAATAGCAATATGCTAACAAACCTGTGGCCCTCTAAAATATAAACTATGAAGATATGTGTATAAAAAATTATAAAATTATGACAACAAGATAAAAACCCCTACACTAAAAAATAAATTATAACTAATGGTTAATAATTATTATTGAATGGGGAAAAAAAACTAGTAAATATAAAATAATATCTAAAAATANAATGAAAAAAAAGTTAGTAATATAAAATAATATCTAAAAATAGCTAAAAAAACAATAATAATAGAATGAACTAAATTATACTATAAAATGATTTAAGTTTTTTGATTGTCTAAGAAATAATTTCTTAAAGAGCTTTTAAAGATAGTCAAAGAGTCGTTTTGACGTAAGACTAAAGGCAAGCTATTCCAAAGCTGACATGTAGTTACACTAAAAGATCTCCCTCCCTCCGTCTTAAGCTTAAAAGAAGGACAATTTATAATTATAATAATTTAATATTAACACTTGAATTTACTTTACACATGATTTTTTATCAGGATTTGCAAGGCTCTTAATGCAGGAAAACTTGAACAACAAGTTCTGCATGGATTACGAGATCTTGGGCTCTCCTCAGGAAAGGTCTGATGTCTTTTAACATATGGATACAATTTGAAATCTATTTCCGTTTTGGGATAATGCTGTTATGTAGGTCACAGGATATAGATAAAAAAGGGCGGCTGTCTATTCTTGGTTTTCACCTACGTCATCATGTATTTCAAAAGCGTAAATTCGCATTATCATGAAATACAAGTTTCATAATCTTGTAAAGCAGTCCAAACTACATACATGTATACTGGCCAGATTTTAAGGCTGTAAAGCATTTCRTTGCGGAACTATAGGCGAGTAAACATGATGCAATTGTTGGTTAAAATGTATGGAGCAGCCATCTTGTTGTTCCAAGTTAGTACACCATCATGGCGGACRAAACTCCAAAGGCATAAAATGATGGAATATTTAATGTGTTTGACTATATTTCACTTAGATATACTTTAAATAGATATTTTAAACGTGTCTAAGGGAAAATCTTTCAACTAGAGTAATTATTTTTATATTTTCATCGCTATTTAGCTAGATGTGACGGTATTGCATGACACAAACTCAACCTTCATAACTCGAGAACTAAACATCAAAATGACTCGAGATTTTTTCTTGTGACTTATAACACTGATTTCTAAAACATACTTGAGAAATGCCTTTATACGATCTATAGTTTAGATTTTGATGTTTTGATGACGTCATGTGAAAACCGGCAATAACAAAATTTTTTGATGCAATGTTTTTCAATTAATGTATTTTCGTATTAATGAAGTTGCGGTCCTTTTACAAATGATCCTGAATCGTGACACAAATGAATGTATCATTTATTTTCCCCTTTTATTTCATTTTTYCCCCCAGCTTATTTGGTCATCTGTTTTTCTCTTTTAAGAATGATGAAATGGAATGTAATGACATGACATTTGAGAATTTTTATGAGCTCTACTTGAAGGTCTGCCCTCGATTAGAAATTGACCAACTTTGCGTTAAGTGGTAAGGAAAATTGTTGCAGGATTGGAAAGAATCGATGTATTCTTTAACAGGATACCTTGGGGGTTTGGGGGTAGGGGAGGGGGATGGAGGGAGGAGGGGAGGGAGAGGGAGGGAGAAGGAGAGGCTCCCCCACCCCCACCCCCCATCCAAAACCCTATCATATCCTGTTTCCTGGACTCCACATCACAAGTTAATCAAGTTTGTCAGGTCTCTCCTTTGATCCAAGGTTTTTTCTTGTTCTCTGGTTTTCATTCCTCTGCAAAGCCTAGCTAGCTAAATTCCAATTTATTATGTGAGTTACATGTACCCTGACTTAGATCAGTCCAGAGGTTGTTTCGGGGTTCAATCTGTGAGATAGCCATGCCCTGACTTAGATCAGTCCAGAGGTTGTTTCAGGGTTCTATCTGTAAGATACCCGTGCCCTGACTTAGATCGGCCTAGATGTTGTCTCAGGGTTCAATTTGTGAGTTAGCCGTGCCCTGACTTAGATCAGCCCAGAGGTTGTTTCAGGGTTCAATTTGTGAGTTAGCCATGCCCTGATTTATGTATACTTCTTATGTATCTGGATTCCTCTTTCTAAAACATGCTGATGGTGTGAAGATATAGTATCTTATTTGATCATTTTTTAATATTTTTTATCGTACTTAGGGGTGGTGGAAGAGCTCCTTATCTAACAGTCAACCAGTTGGTAAAATTTCTTAATGAAGAACAAAGAGATCCTCGTCTTAATGAGATTCTGTATCCCTACTATGACCATGAAAAAGCTTTAGCTCTCATCAGGAAGCATGAAAAGTCTTTAGACATGTTGCAAAGAGGTTAGTGCRGTCTTGATTTTTATCGTGTTTATAAATAACATTTTAAAAATAACTTTTGCGAAAGCTGCGTTCTGATTGGTTGGAAGCGCTTGCTTCATGAGAGCACACAGCACACATGAGGATTTTCAGCTATGTTATTCCCATCTAAGATGATGGTTATTGTGATTTGCTTGATGTGCTGTTTGGAGTTATAAAGCACTTGTGATTGGCAGAACGCTTGAGAAGTGCTTAGATGCACTCTGCTACGTGTTGTGCTTTTCCTAACACTTCTCTCATGTTCTGCCAACCCCAGCGTGCTTTATAATTACAATCAGCATGCCCGTGCATTTTTTATTTCTTCATTATGATACATTGGAGAACGCATAGGTATACTATTAATGTACTGCATATAGAGGCTTTGGACCATCACGTGACAGTAGCCATGTTAGATGGCAGGAACAATACAAGTTTTACACAAGAAAGAATTCAATTCCCGAGAGCAAAGAGATTTTATTGTCTGCCATCTAACCACAGGCAGTCCAAGCTGTATTATGCGTGCTGTATTATATGTACTGTAACTACAGTACTGTGTTCATAGGTTAAACCCTACCCTTGCCCCCCTTCATATGTGATCTGAGTGGCTTGCCCCAGGTCCTCTGCCATCTATTTTTCCATCCTCTGCAAAATTCAGAGATTTTAAGAATGGAAAAAGATTTTTTTTTCATGATGGGAAACTTTTTAAGATGCAGTTAGTTTTAATGGATGGTATTTTTTTATGTAATTCAGATCGTATCAGTGTCAATGGTCTAACCAGATATCTACTGAGTGAAGACACTTCTGTTCTTATGCAACATCAGCTAGAGTTGACGCAGGACATGAACCAGCCCCTGTCACACTACTTCATCAATTCTTCCCATAATACATACCTTATTGGTAAGTTGCTTTTGTTATACACCAGTGCAGATCCAGAAYGATTTCAAGGCAGTAGCCATTGTTAACTAAAAAGGCATTTCATAGTGTACTTTTTACGGTTTGCCTTACTCTTTATCCTTATTATATTTCACTCCAACTTTAGAAGGGTGRCTAGTGACCAATGCAAATTCACCCCTCCCCCCGGTATCCACAATTAGACATAAAAATTTAAAGAAAAAACAAGGCCATAATAGTGTAAAAACTGCTGCAATTAATTTTCCTTAGCAGACTCCTCTCACTGCTTGGGTAGCATGGGTGGCGTTTGCAGTTAAYGCATCGTCTTTCACCGCTGTGAATCCACTGGGTCGGGTCGCTGGTTCAGGCCCTGCGGTCGCCACATGTGAATTGAGTTTGTTTGATGTGTTGTTTTCTCCTATGCTAYGAGGGTTTTCTCCRGGTTCTCCGGTTTCCTCCCTCTGTAAAAATCAACATGTGAGCTGAGCGTTGTGTGCATAGGATATTGAATGTAGTGGTAGTGCGTGTGAGCGAAAAGTGTCCCCAATTAGTGCGAAAGTGCTAGAACGACTAGACACTTAAATGAAAGTGATTTTTGAAGGAAATGAGAATAATCCCAACTATTTTGTACCTTTGTTGCAGGTGACTGAAATAACGACTTTTGAAAATTGTATAATAATAATTTTCAAGTGACAAAGCTGTTTTTTAAATTTTTTGGTTAAGTCATTGAGGAATGCTGTTTTTCAATCTTTTTTCAGGTCGACAATTTGGTGGCAAGTCTTCTGTGGAAATGTACAGGCAATGCTTGATCGCTGGCTGTAGGTAAGGTGTTAAAAAATAATTAAGACATTATTATCATCCTATTTTTATCTTATCAACAYTCATCGCCATTGCGACAGTCTTGTATCATTGTAAGTTATTATAATCATCATGTAATGAATATCATCCACCATATTATCAGGGACGGATCCAGAAATTTGTTGAGGGAGGGGTGCAGCACACATAGTTAACTCAGGGAGAGGTGCACCCCTTAGAATTAAAGGGAAAAAACATTATTTTGTATTGGTTAAATCTTTGAAGTAGGGGCACAAAGTCGAACAAGGGAGGGGTGCACCCCCCTGCACCCCTCCCCTGGATCTGCCACTGATTATGATCACCCCAAAATTATGTATTGTGCATCATGCATCATCTTCATCACATCTTGTATCATTATCCTATCAGCACCATATTGTTTGATCATTATCCCCAACATCATCATCTTTATCACATCATGTATCATCATCATCATCATCTTTATCACATCATGTATCATCATCATCATCTTTATCACATCATGTATCATC